ATGATGATGATGATGATGATGATGATGTGTCGCGGCTGTCAGCGGTCACTGGGGTCTCAATCCTGAAACCAATCTATGGCAAAAATGATAAAACCATGCTATAAAAAAACTCAATAATATTTATATATTCCTGAATTCGTATTTCCACTAGTGTTAGGCTCTCTCGCAACACGYGACCACCAAGTCATTTCACCTCTCAAAAGCCAGTCAAAAAACCCGCACAATTGAACTTGTAAATGCATATATTTGTGTTAATCCCCATCAGGGTCCGACCGCCTTTCCACAGCCCCCACCCCCACACCCCCCGGTTTAACACCGTTTAGTGCATAAATGCTTCAGTTTTTCCAAAGAAAAATCTAAAATCGAAATCAATAAAGAAATCCTCTAGATTCATTCCCCGGGATTTTGGCCGATTTCGAGATGTGTTTTGGGACCGGTTGTATCTTTTATGGGTTAAAAAAACTCAAAGGATTCAGGATGCCAATATAAAATAGTGGTATATTAACGGCTGTTTGTAAGGAGTTAAGCMAATATTTAYCAGATGACGTCAGATATTCTTGAATCATGAATCAACAAATATTGCATTCTTTTGGAGTGCAGAATACGTTGTTCCGAAAAAAATATAACTTATACCTTGKGCAGACTAGGATTGCACTCGGCACGATGAAATGTGTGGAATGTACGTACGAAGGTAGAACTAGAAAAACCGATGGAAAGATAGCTCGCTTGTGTCTTTGCCTACTATTGGTGTTTTGTGTGGTTGGTTTGCTGTTGAGCACCGTGTTTATCTATCTACATATCAACAGCCGTMTCTCTCGTCTTGAAGGAAAACTGTTGGGCTTTACTTCGACTGTTGTACCAACGACAAATATAGAAGTACGACGATAATAAACGACAAAAATGTGGAAATTAATAGTTACCAGAAAAGTGACAAAAAGGGCAGAATCGGACTCGTACATTCTATTAGGAAAACTGGCCTTCRACTCTAAAGCTAAACAGTAAGTAAATTTAAAATTTGTCAAAATTGTCATCAAATCGGCTCGTCGTTCTCTTTTTCAAAAAAAATTTCCAAAAAATAAATGACCAATCCTAGAAGTTGTGATCAAACAGTTCTGAGAAGACGTGGTGGTAAGAGTAAAATGGAGGTGAATTTTGATAGAACAATTATAATACAAATTAATTTTAAAAATGCAAAGGAAATTTATCATTATTTGGTCCCCTGTCCATCAAAAAATAAAACAAATAAAACTCACAAAACCATCAGAAAATCTTTCACTTTTGAATTTTAGGAAAAAATGGTGTATTGCTAACGCTATTTTTTTCACGCTGAAAATGTAGTTTTTGCTTTTGTTAAAATAACAAATGAAGCCTTTATTAGACCTATGATATTGCTATATCTAAATTTTAAAACTTGGAGAGAAACATTTAGATAATTTTACAAACAGACAGTGTTAATGGATGTTCATGACAGATTGAATATGAAAGCTGATTGTGATAATGATGAAGAATCACAATGGTGATGCTGCTGCTGATGGTGAGAATGACGACGACGAAGACGATGATGAAAATGACATGATGAAAAAACTGATGATGGTGATAATGGTGACGATGATAATGATTACGACGATAATGAAGATGATGATGATAATGATGATGTTGTTGTTGAAGATGATGATGATGACGACGACGATGATGATGTTGATAATGATGGTGATGATGATGATGATGCCAACGACGACAACGACAATGATGATGAATTCCTATGCCACCACAAGGGMGGAAAATATACTATAATTACTGCAGTTTGGCTTTAGTAAACATTAAAGTCCTTTCCTCTGTTTTATCACTTTCAGCCAGCAAAGAACCACGAGATAAAGGCACGACTAAGGAAACATAGAGAAATCAATCTCCGAAATATGGACAAACTCGTTCTCACTCTCCACAGTCTGTAGATCCATGTCGTAATAATCGAATTCTTCATCTTCCGAACTGGAATCCCTACCTAACAAATCCCTTGTCTTGTATCCTCCTCGGTCAGCCTGATACCACGAACTCGTTGGATCCTGTACATGCTTATCCCCATCGTCCGAATCTGGAGAATCGATCTGCCATGAAGTATTTGTATGGTCTTGTTGTAAAACGTCCTGTGAGGCGATTTCTATATTTTTAGTCTTCTTTTCAATGGAGTCTTCTTTGGATGCGTTAGTTAACGCTTCATTATTGCATTTGATATATTTATCATCTACATTCTGATTGAAGCTTGTTTCGAGCTTCTTGTTTTTTTTACTTTGTGAGGACTCTTCGTTTAAATCTGTCGATGACAATTCCACTAATGGCCGATGAGATGCTTCTTTTTCATCCCCATCCACCTTGGTCGTGTCACCATGTTCATGTTCCAGATATTCCAGTTTAGCACGTTTCACTTCTGTTTCGGATTCACTTCCTTCATCTTCAGAGGAGCTCGAGTAAGAACCGACTAATGATGTTGCTTGATGTTGCCTTTCATTTGACGTGAGCTCTTTGGACTCATCGTCTGTTCTGTCTGGTTCCGTGTGGGATCTAACTGCTTGACGAACCCAGCATCCCACACGGAAATAATCCTACCACACATGCGCACAAGAAGAAAAATAGTTATAAGTATTTGGTGTAATATTATAGAATAAAATAAATGTGTTACTTGGTGTCAGAATTTTTTTCTCTTTATTTCCTTCCTTTCTTTTTCTGTTTCTTCTTTTCTTTCTTCCTTTGATTATTTATTTCTTCCTTTCATCACTTCCTTCCTTCCTTGCTTTCTTTCTGTTTTAGCAAGGGCGCTAAGCATTTCTATCAGCGAATGTGATTGGTCGAGAATGCCATGGTTGCACAAAGAGAGAATTTAGAGCTTGATATTCAAATTTATATTTCTGCTTGATTATATGTGGCTAAATGAAATTTAGGCGAAGTTAAATCGAGACAATGCATTCTGCTCAGCGGTCTTCCCAACAATGTGCGGGAGGGACCCAGCGTATTCTCAGGGGCTTACTTGCTGTGTTTGTAGTGCTGGTTGATTTGCACCAAGAGTTTTTCTCCCACCCTCCCTCCTCTGCTAATAGGTTCTCTACAGGTGAGTATATACTCCAACTGAATCTCAGTGTGACAGGTAGGGTACCGGTAATGAGCTGTGGCCCGGTTGCCATGGTTAATTTCCAGCGGGGACRTGATCTGTCGCAACCCCAGCTCCCCCTGGTACCTAACCCCAACTCATTTGTCGATGAGTTTAACTTTCTATTTTTAAGGCAACGGGGAACGTCTCGTATGATTGTTAAAAATACCAATAGGATGTAACGATACTCACCGCCATAGACCATTGTAGCATCAGACTAGTTTCATATGGACCGAAGACCTAAAACAAAGAGATAGAAAATTAAGAGGATTCTAACTTTATTTCAATAGCAAAAAGAAAGCGAGGAAAGAAAGAATAAAGTAGGGAGGGATGAACGGACGGACAAACGCAGGGTTGGATCCAGGTGTGGTAAAACACGGGGCCTGCCCATCAAGGATGTACGTGAAAATCAAACTAGTTGATCAATATTAGAAAACGACAGAAAGAAATGCTAGTCTGAATCGAAAAAATGACATTTTGTTTTACATTTTTTTATTATTTCTACTGATTTCCAGCCACGAATTGTAAAAAAATTAAAAAATATATAATTAAAAATGAAACAATGATGGCTTAGCCGCCCAGAAGCCAAGAATGGGAATAATCTATCTTCTGCATCATATACTCTGTGACCAACATYAATCATTTTTTCAGTAAATTTTCTACAATCGAGACAAGTCGCCCTCTCGCCACTTCGTCGCACGCTCGCTGCGCTTGGCAAGTCTAGGGCGTTGAACTGTGTATTTTGCTGGCTATTTTACTTATTATTTTAGKTTATTTTGCTATATATAATTATAACTGACAGCAGTAGTTTGATCTCAACTAGAGTTCTATTCTGCTTTTTCTTCATATATCTGATAGTAAAGGAATCAAAAATATCTCTATCCTGTACATATCGGACACTAACATAAATATTTGTCATTTTTCTCCGCATTTTTTTTTTTAATATGATTTAACTTTGCATTTCTTCCTTAGCTTTTATTTAAGTAAATATAAAAAGGATGAGGG